CGAAAAAACAGTTTCTCGGTTGTTTTATGTTTTGTTTTACATTCAACGCATATGTTTAGATACCAATGTAGTCCTTTTTATTCTATTAAGAATCTCTTTGTCGAAATTGTAAACACTTGAACTTCGTGTTCACTCGGAAGGTGATTCGGTGGGCATCGAGTATACTGCGTAGCTGTTTTCATACTTATTGTCAGTCTTCTTCGAACGTTGAGAGAGGTAGAAACAATATTAGATAAGTATCCAATTTATTTCGAGTATACGTGTGTGTGTGTTATTTTGTATTATACAAATTATATTTATATGTGCGCGAGTGTGTGTACTAGTGGCCAGTGATATATATAACATATGTTCATACGTGTATATATTAACATCGTATATAAGCCAAAATAAATTTAATACGATTAATTATATAATTCGTAAAACAGGAACACGTTTAAACACATCTGATCAAAAGCTGAGAAAAATGATGGGTGGAGAAAAAACGGGTGAGGAGAGGGTAAGCTAAACGAAAGAATTGTTAGATATGTAATTATGAGAACATTGAAAACTGCATACTATATTGTAGGTTAATGCTAATATAGATCGTGTTTATATTTCGTATATTTCTTATATTCTCTATTTTATTTTTTATTTTATATTTTTCAATACGTTATCATTATAGTTCAATAAATAATTATATTCACTGTAAAACAAATTCTGTTAGATTATAAGTTCAAGATAGTTCTAGTGCGTGAAAGTTTCGAGTGAAAATTAATCAGACGTGTAGAACGTTAAAAAATAAATGACTTATAATAGAAATCATGGTGTCTATGCACAATTTTTCGCGAATATAAGATTAAATGATAATAATTACGAACTGTGAAAAATGCATGTGAAAAGTATCCTTGTGGTTTAATGATTTGTTGTCATTCATTGCTGAGAGTAAAGTAAAAATGGATAAAAATGACGCAAAAGAAAGGATATTAATTAATCTCTGTAAGTTGAACATTATATATGGAGAATTATATATATAAAGAAAACACTGTTTGTACCCCCTTTACTTTTCAATCAGTCATATTATATTCTTATGATTAAAAGAGAGAAGAACATTGAAATATTATATAAATCGACTTGACCGGGTTATAAGAGAATAGACCGGATAAATTGAACGTAGACTTGGACGAGGTTTCGAGGACGCGTTCCACATCGGGTTGGTTCTCGATTGATGGCACCTATCTAAATATTTATCGTCATTCGTTATGAACCAAACCAAAAAATCGATCCTCTAGAAGAAAAGGAAAAGCTATGAAATATTCGACAAACGTTAGGGATCCAGAATCTTTCGTAAATATTTATGTACACACTTTCTCTTTCTCTCTCTCTCTCTCTCTCTCTCTCTCCTATTGTTCTTTCTTTTTTCCTTTCTTTTATTTATTTTCTCCTCGTTATTATTTATTACAAGTATCGATAACTTTTTTCGAATCTATACTTAATTCTTCTTTCTTCTTCCCTTGTTGAAAATTTGATAAACGTCTGGCTCGTTAATTTTCAAGATGTTGTTAAGAATATCCAACGATAAAAAATTAAACACGATCGTTTTTACTCAAATTCACGAAAATGTTGTCTTAAAGTACATTACTGTAAGAGTTTGAAAATATCGAACTAGGTAAAGAACTCGACATAATCATTTTATTATTATTCACTCAAAAATGTTGTCTTAACGAACATATGTGATGAATTTTCGTTAATAAAAAAATCACATATACGTTTTTTATTAATTATTATAGATCACGAAGCCTATATAGATAATACAGCGTACGATGAGTCGATGTTCGATTAAAAACCGATAGTTAATCGATTGTAAATAAATCTACACGTACAAACTCGTATATCGATTATGTGTACTTTTATTTTTTGTTTTTTTTTTCTCCATGCAATTCTTTCTGTCTTTATTTTTTGTCGAGGGTTGAAGTTGTTTTTTCAAAAAACACTTTCCTGTCCAACATTCGATAGTGTTTTCGTACTAGGATTAACGTGTGCCGAGTTTTATGTAAAAAGGAAATAAGAGAAAAAAAGAAACGGACTTGGAATTGTGTATTTATCTGCGATATCGATTGACAACAAAAAAACAAATAAAAAAGGAAAAAAGAAAAACAAAAAGGTTAAAGAACATTGCACGAATGAATGAATCGAAATAAGTAATCGAATAGAAAAGTATAATTGGGTCAAGTTATGCATAAAGTTACCAACCTTTTAGTTGTGATCTGAAATTGAGTAAGTTTAGTTAAAAGATTTTAATAAAAAAAAAATTAAAGAAAAAGGTAGCTTTACTTTAATCGAATACTCCGAACAGATTTTATTTTTTTATAATTATTTTATTTTTTTTCTAAATGACTTGTTTAATAACGAATAGTATAATCATCCCTTTCAAGTCATCCAAAAAATGAGGATAATAATATTAATTTACCGTAATTTTTGTAATTACATTTGTAATAATTATTTATTTATTTATTATCTTACTGTGTTTGAAAAATTTATTAAAAATTAGAAAGTACTAGCAAACAATTCAATTGCAATTTGACTTAAAAATCAATTACAAGTAGACACTTGATGATCTTACGAAAAGAAAAATCCAATTCAAAGGATTAATATTATTTGAATTATAAAATGGAACGAAAAATGTTGTAATTTTTATTTGAAACCACAATCGCACAAACCGGGTTTAAATAAATTTGTTTAAAAAGTTAATAGGTTTGTTCATAATTCGATCTAATTGTTAAAATAAATAAATGAAAGGGACATTTGAGGAATGAATTGATGAGCTATCGAGGAAAGGTTATTATAACGTGAAATGTATATCTCCTTATCGGATAATCGAGGTCGTAAGGTCACCGTATGTTACTCATCATCGTGCAATCAAGCATACAATAGGCTCGATTACTCGTCAATGCAGAAAATCCAATTATCCGAGTAGAATTTATACCTGCTGAATATGCTTTCGCGTATGGCTCTGTCCCGTGGTCATCAATTCAACAAAGATAATTAAAGTGATATAGACAGTAACAACAAAAAATAAAGAAAGAAAAAAAAAATTAACAAAACCAAAAAAAAGAAACTTTGAATCGTGTCACTTGCTTGTGTTCATTTATCGAACGTTCACGCGTATGTTATCTTTCTTTCTTTCTCTTTGGTTTTTTTTCTTTTTTTTCTTTTCCCCCGGTTAAATCCACTTTTCGCTTCCTTTAGCGCGTATCCGTGCTAATTTATTTTTTGCTTCTATCGCGATAAATGAACGACTGATATGATAAAACAACGAGCAAAGAATACTTTAAAACGAAAAAGAACAACCAAAATTTTCCTGGGTTGCGATATTTTGTAGTTAGCGTATTTATTTTCTTATTATTAATTTCGTTAGTAAAACTATTTTTTGTATCATGATAAGACGTATGGAAAAAATATCTTATATAATATTTATTCATTATATTAAATATTTTTATTCTATTTACATATGAATTATTTTAACGAAACTATTACGCGAAATGAAATATTTTGTAAAAATATATTTTAAGAGATATTTTGTCACTTGCGAGAAGTATTGTGTGTTTTATTTTTATGATTATTTCTTTTCTTTCTCAAAGAAAAGAAGAAAGACAGAGATAGACTGTTGAAAAGGTGTTAGATCAATATCGTTTGATATAGTTTAACGATATCACCCTTCAAAGGCTCTCACCATCCTTACAGATTGCCGTTAATTACTTTCCGATCGGTGGAACATCACGTCAAAAGATGCTTTGTCAGAGATCGCTCATCCCTGCGTGAAGTCTCTCGGACTTAGATACTCTATCTAAAGATAAATGTGAATATCACTCGCCTATTAAAATTTATATCAGATAAGACGACTACAATTAATTGCAGGGACGATTAAATCGTTACAAGGATATTATTAATTATTAATAATAAAATGTATTATTATATAATTAACTTCTCTTTCATCTTCATCTTCTTCGTTATATCTTCATTAAATGAAACACTTATAACATAATGAACATAACTATATGAATATATATACATTTGTGAATATTTTGTTAGTATTCATATATCGTAAGCCTATTGAACTTTCGATGGAAAATCAATAATTTTCAAGGATAAAGACGAAAATAATCTTCTATTCGCTGGTGAAACCAAGTGAAAATCGATTAGATAGGGAAAAAAGATAGATAGATGGATAGATAAGGCATGTAAAAAAATAAAAAAGAGTGGAAAGAGAATATCGAGGGATGAAAAAAAAAAACGAAGATGAATTTTTTCTTTTCTTTTCGGGGTTAAACTCTTAAATCTTTAATTCGCGTTTGTGAAGCTTTCTCTTTGTCGAAGAATATATAACGCGAACCAATTTCACTGAGCTAAAGGAGGAGATCTATGTACGAATCTCTATGTACGAATCTCTATGTATGTATATATATGTAACCAGAGGAAACTGAAGTAAGTACTTGAAACGCTTCACGGGAGATCTGCTTGCGGCGTTTTTTAGTCCAAATGGAAGAACACTGATCCAAGTTTACTGACAAGTTGAATTTGTTCCTCGACTCCTACGGAAAAGATAATCTCGCAAATGGACAAACGAATTTTATCTTGGATTGATATTACATTAACAATTCTCTAGAAAGAACATTCTAACTTTTTATAACCAACTATCTTTTATTTTATTTTCTATGCTAAATATTTCGAATATAAATGAACAAAAAAATATAATTAGAATGAAAACATTTTCTCTCCTTTTCTTTTTTTATCTTTTTTTAAATTAAAATATATATATATGTATATAATATTAGAATTAAAAGATTCTCATCTTTTTTTCGATCTTTATGTATTCATATTTACATTGGACCTTTTTTTTATTAATTATATATATTTCATATTCGTTCAATTAAATATTTGAATTACTTTATGATTTTTATCTAAATCTTATTTATCGGAAATAAAATTTGTATCCTAGTGATAGTCATCGAGACGACACTTACTTGAAATTTGATGGCATCACGCTCGATCTGCGACATGTTCTTGAAGATAGTATCGATAATACCAACGAATTTGTCACGCTCCAAAAAGCTTGCTGTGTCCTTGTCAAAGAAATCGATGAAGTCGTACAGAATGAAGTACGTTCCTGAAACAAAAATGTTCACGCTCTTGTTAATTATCCTCTTCCCTTCAATGCTCTTGTTTTACGAGTTCTACAAGTCATCACATTTTTCTTTTCTTTTTTAATAATAACAAAAAATCATTCGACACAGTGCGTTAACGAAATATTCACAATTATAATAATAAGAAGAATTTAACTTTTTTTTTTATTGATTTGTCACATTTATAATCAATTTTTCTTACAATCAATTAAATATATAATCAAAATTATTCTTACACAAATACACGCAAAGGAGAGAAAACTTTCTTATAAATTGTAAAATAAAAATACAATATTATTTTGTTAATACTTCGCGTCGGAAAAGTAGTAAGGATTATAAAAAAACTTGAACATTTATTAGATAGTCAGGAGATAGTTAGTAGTTCGGTGCACGTACACGCGTTTACCCAATGAAAAATAAGGAGACAGAAAAAGGTTAAGGTAGAAGAGAAAAGAGAATGCGAAAGAATACAAGAGAGAGAGAGAGAGAGAGAGAGAGAGAGAGAGAGAGAGAGAAAAAAAAGAGAAAACGGAATACTCGAGAAATACGATGTGGTGTTAGGAGAGAGTAAGGAAAAAAGAGAGAGAGAGAGAGAATGAAAGAGGGTGGGACAATGTTTATGCGGTGTACACTTTAAGCCGGACGATATCAGTGGATTAGCCACGATATTTTACAAAATAGAAGCTAAAGTGAGATAAGAAGAAGATTGTATATGCGATAAGAAAGTATAATAAGGATAATTAGATATATTGCACATTTTTAGTACTTGGAACCCTTTGGACTATTTTTGTTTGTTCGTTTCTTTTCTAATTTCTTTTTTTTTATATATATATATTTCTATCTTGACCTTTTCCTTCCTTCCTCCAACTTTTCCGTGGTATTCTTATATTTACGTGTAAATAAATAAGTACGTGTAGACGTGAATACGACACGAAAACTCCATTCCTTTTCTAGTACGTAACAGTAGAGGTAAAGGAAGAGTGTGAGGGGGGCTAGGTAGTTTTGTTGTAGGTATATAGTTTGGCCTTTTGAAATGCCTAGAAAAGGCTTTAAAAAGGATTCTTTGGAAAAATGCATTTTTCCGATATAAAGGATTTCCTGTTGTCAGATATTCCAGGGTGCCGAAAAGAAAGGAAGCATATGGATTGTAAATATTTTTCATAACATCCGCGACACACCCTCTATGGCTAGGGGTTGTCCTCTTTTTACTAGTAGTAGGATGCCAAAGATGTCTCTTAGAATACTTTCTTATGTGCATGCGTTTATATGTGTATACTTATTTGATATGTATGCCATACATATATATATACTTACTTATACGTATATTCTCGCATAAATAGAAATGTTCGAGATTCGCCGGAGGGTTACCATCGTCGTATACATACTGAACAGATATATTTTGGTACATAAGTGTTATATATATGTGTGTGTGAGTGCTAGCCATTGTTTTTTTTTGTTCTTTTATTTTACATCCTTCGAACCGAAGGACATCCCAAAGCGTTGGGTAAGAAGAACATTCAGAATATCTTTTAATTTCTTCTCTTCGAAGTACGAAATAAAGATGGAAAGAGAAAGAGAGAGGACACAAAGACGAATTAAGAAAACGTTTTATGAAAAATTTGAAGTTTTCATTACTTATGTTACATCCTAGACTACTTTCTTTTTCTTTTATCTCGAGAATCAACAATCCACACCAATCAATACCCTCTTTCCCTCTAGCTCTAACATCCAAATCTCGCCACTCGCCAAGTCACATGCAATTCTTTAGGTCATTCCCTGATAAAAGCTTAACAGCTCGATCAAAAACATACCACACCTTTCATTATGCCACAAAACGTAGCAGCTATGTAAAAAATAAATAAGAAAGAGAGAGAGAGACGTTTATTAAATAATATGGGATATTATAATTATTATTAAAAATAAAAATACGACGAAGCATAATTATGTGTTAGATATTTCCTTTTTTTTTATTCATCGTTCCTTTTAGCACACGCGAGAAAACTAAATATAGGAAGACATGACGGAAGATAACGATGCCAGAATGACCACGTTGTCGTAAAAATAGCAAGATTCTCTGGCGACCTTCGTGGGATATTCAGGCCTACCGTGTAATCACCGGACGGATGGCTTTAAGTCAAGCCCTTTTTTATTTTTTTTATTCTGCAATGTAACCTTCTGAATTATAAAGAAAAAAGAAAGAAAGGAAAGAAATATCATTGCTTGTGGTTTTAACGCCGGCCGTTTCATTTTTTTACATAACTTGAATCAAATTCATATCAATTATTATAAACGTAATAGGCTGGATGGAAACAAATCTGCAATTTTTCTGCATAAGCATGAATGATCATAAATGATAAAATAGAAATATTGGATAAAATGTGTAATATTTTTATTGGAAAGACAAGATTATTTCAAATTAAGAATGTAAAAAAAAAAACATAAAAATAATTAAATCGTGCTATAGAAAGTCTTAGAATTTAGAAAGAAATTTATGATAATGTAATTTTTGTTCTTTACTTTGCATAATAGGAGGAATATATTCCAGAAATTATACAGCATTTTTTTTTATTACTTTCTTTTACACACGTACAGTAGAAAAATATATTTTCATTTAACAATTCTTACTAGAAAAAGAAAGAAAGAAAACAGATAATAAAAAATAATAGGATGTTTCATTGCCAATCTTTATTGAAAGATTAACGAGTCGGCTATCAATCTAATGTCGACCAGCAATATCGTCAATTCTAAATTAGCTTAAAGTATGTGCTACACTAATATGAACGATAATAAAGAGAAAAAGTGAGAGAGAGAGAGAAGACATTAAAACATTAAAAGGAATTATCAAGAATCTCCGAAAGACTTTGAAGAGGAAACTTAGAAATAGTTTCTTTCAAATCTTCAAACGACTTCACAAATTTTCGATTTAAATTGGCATATTAAAGAATTAACTTAAGTAAAGTAGGATAATTAAGATTCGTTATTTCCAATTAGTACACCCAGTACACAATCATATATATTTCTCGCTTAATTATGATAAAACATTATTCCCTTGAAAGAAACAAAAAAAGGAGGAAAAGAAACGATATATCAAAATTCTCTCATTTTTTTTTCTATAATTTTCCTCCACCGTGTCTTAATCTTGTCTTTCGAAATAAAAAAAAGAAGAAAGGAAAAAAGGGAAAATATCGTCCTTCCTCTATTCGCTTTTTTCTTATTATTTTTCTTCGTGAGAACAAACAAGGAAAAACGCAGGTGTAGATACCATTCTTCTACTCCTTTCTTCTTCTACTTCTTATTCTTATTCTTCTTTCTCCTCTATCTTCTCTTTCTCTTTGTTTCTTTCTTTTTCATCTTTCTTCCTAAAGAAAAAGTATCCTTATTTCCGCAACAACCTTCGTACACATTCTTCCTGCATCGATATTGAACGTGCAACAGAGAATAACGTAGAAGACAAATAAACAAACAAAAAATAGTATCTCTTTCACGAGATCTCATATACACACCTAAAATTGTATACGTGCACGCGATTACTTGTATATATATATGAGAATTCTTTCGAAATTCTTTCATAAGCTTCCGAGCTTTAACCCTAAACTTTTTTGTTATCAACGTCCCTTCTCATCCAAGTATACCTACGTTAATACCTTCTCGCTCATCTTTTTTCAACCAGGTCATTTCTCCCTTAACGCGTTCACAATTTCTTCTTACGCTTTACCACCTCTATTATGTTTTTTGGATCCACCCTTATTCCTCCCCCTTTGCATGTCCCCCGCCCCCTCAACCCGGAATATATTTTTCTATTCCCAACAGCTCCGTAGAAAAGCTTCTGTTCCGGACCACTTCATCCCGTGCTTACCACCCTTTCATAGTACTTGGCACGCCCTCACTTTTCTTTCCTACCACCACCCCTCATCTTTTCATCCCTTTTCTATCGTGTCTTAATCTTCCCTATCTCTTTCTCACTCTCTCTCTCTCTCTCTCTCCTTCTTTCTTTCTTTCTTTCTCTCTTATACTTCTTCTTATTATTGATCGTTCCCTTTTGTTAAAAGTAAAATGTTGAAAAAATAATGAAGATTAAATTTGTTAACATGCTTAAAGGAGTTTTTACTGTGGTAATTTTGTTTTTTAGAATAAATATTTTATCATAATAGAAGATAATTTGTGTGAATGATGATGTATTATTATATAGATAAATGATTATTATATATTTTATATGTGATAAAAATGTTTTCCCATGAAAAATAAATTTTGGAATATTGAAAGTGCAAAGATAAAAATAAGAACTAATGAAAGCATTACATGCATGTGGTGCGTTCAGCTTCAGTTACTCTTTGAGGTAGAGTATCTTTATGTAGGTTAGTTATTATAAGATCTACAGTTTTATGATATCGCAGTTTATGCATCCTAGTATTTGAGAAACGTAAGAGTTCAATATTTTAATACAAATTTTAACGAGAAAACAATTTAGTTTTAATCGATGAAAATATTATTATCGAAAATGTTACAATTTATTTTGAATAATTTATAGAAAGAGCACTTATTTGTCTATTTTTAAAAGAATATTTTTTAGTTCGTGTGACCTAAAAAGAAATTACCGTTATAATACAAAAAGGATTAAAAAGCACAGAGTGTGAATGATAAAATATTTAACAAATGTAAGAAAAAAGAAGAAATAATTAGAAGAAATATACTTTCGAAGATAATAATATCTTTTTCCCGATAACTGAAAGAACAAATGGAAATTATTGAAACTAAATGTAGGTCATACTTCGGATAATCCATTTCGTTAGTTATTCCACCTTCATTCGTTTGTTCCTTAAAAGAACACTTATAGATTACTATTTCCTTTTCGCCAGTTACCATATTTTCTTAACGAATATCTTTAATAACTTTCCAATCTTATACACACGTTTAACGGAGAGCATGTGTTCAGTAAAAATTCATAATTCAAATTAGTTTAAAAAATTACGATTATATTGTTCAA